AGAATTTCACACAGCCCAATTGCATTTATGGACCAAGGACAAAGCTGTTGCTACCCAAAGCTGAGGTTCAATACCCAGTCGTGCTAATTATTGTTTACTTTGTCAGTGGAGTGTTTTAGAGTTGCCATCATTAACATTTGCTTAAAAAATGCTTCCAGTTTAGTCATCAGAACAAAGGTAGCTGGCACTTTAGAGACACTATCGTTCAAAGCAGTAATCAGTCTCTGAAGGTTCACAGGTGACACACGCCCCATTGAAGCCCACTGAAACTGAATGAGGTGTCCAGATGGGAAAATAGTAGATGGCCTCTTCTCTGGCAGAGAATTTTTTTTTAAGAAGCCAGGAAAGAGTAAACATCTAGAACAAAAAAGAACTCACTGCACTACCTTCTTAGCAGAAAAGAAAAGACATCCTGGAACACAGGGGAGGAGGAGAATGGAAATGGTCACTGGATGGTCACTAACAAGGTCAGCTCCCACACTGCTACGCTGGGCATCACAAAATGGGGAAGAGATGGACAGCCCTCTGTGGAGATAGAGGTGGTTAGGGACTATTTAGAAAAGCTGGACGTGCACAAGTCCATGGGGCCGGACGAGTTGCATCCGAGAGTGCTGAAGGAACTGGCGGCTGTGATTGCAGAGCCATTGGCCATTATCTTTGAAAACTCGTGGCGAACCAGGGAAGTCCCGGATGACTGGAAAAAGGCTAATGTAGCGCCAATCTTTAAAAAAGGGAAGAAGGAGGATCCTGGGAACTACAGGCCAGTCAGCCTCACTTCAGTCCCTGGAAAAATCATGGAGCAGGTCCTCAAAGAATCAATCCTGAAGCACTTGCATGAGAGGAAAGTGATCAGGAACAGCCAGCATGGATTCACCAAGGGAAGGTCATGCCTGACTAATCTAATCGCCTTCTATGATGAGATTACTGGTTCTGTGGATGAAGGGAAAGCAGTGGATGTATTGTTTCTTGACTTTAGCAAAGCTTTTGACACGGTCTCCCACAGTATTCTTGTCAGCAAGTTAAGGAAGTATGGGCTGGATGAATGGACTATAAGGTGGATAGAAAGTTGGCTAGATTGTCGGGCTCAACGGGTAGTTATCAATGGCTCCATGTCTAGTTGGCAGCCGGTATCAAGTGGAGTGCCCCAAGGGTCGGTCCTGGGGCCGGTTTTGTTCAATATCTTCATAAATGATCTGGAGGATGGTGTGGATTGCACTCTCAGCAAATTTGCGGATGATACTAAACTGGGAGGAGTGGTAGATACGCTGGAGGGGAGGGATAGGATACAGAAGGACCTAGACAAATTGGAGGATTGGGCCAAAAGAAATCTGATGAGGTTCAATAAGGATAAGTGCAGGGTCCTGCACTTAGGACGGAAGAACCCAATGCACAGCTACAGACTAGGGACCGAATGGCTAGGCAGCAGTTCTGCGGAAAAGGACCTAGGGGTGACAGTGGACGAGAAGCTGGATATGAGTCAGCAGTGTGCCCTTGTTGCCAAGAAGGCCAATGGCATTTTGGGATGTATAAGTAGGGGCATAGCGAGCAGATCGAGGGACGTGATCGTTCCCCTCTATTCGACATTGGTGAGGCCTCATCTGGAGTACTGTGTCCAGTTTTGGGCCCCACACTTCAAGAAGGATGTGGATAAATTGGAGAGAGTCCAGCGAAGGGCAACAAAAATGATTAGGGGGCTGGAACACATGAGTTATGAAGAGAGGCTGAGGGAGCTGGGATTGTTTAGCCTGCAGAAGAGAAGAATGAGGGGGGATTTGATAGCTGCTTTCAACTACCTGAAAGGGGGTTCCAAAGAGGATGGCTCTAGACTGTTCTCAATGGTAGCAGATGACAGAACGAGGAGTAATGGTCTCAAGCTGCAGTGGGGGAGGTTTAGATTGGATATTAGGAAAAACTTTTTCACTAAGAGGGTGGTGAAACACTGGAATGCGTTACCTAGGGAGGTGGTAGAATCTCCTTCCTTAAAAAGAAAAGGAGTACTTGTGGCACCTTAGAGACTAACCAATTTATTTGAGCATGAGCTTTCATGAGCCACAGCTCACTTCATCAGATGTGTACCGTGGAAACTGCAGCAGACTTTATATACACACAAAGAATATGAAACAATACCTCCTCCCACCCCACTGTCCTGCTGGTAATAGCTTATCTAAAATGATCAACAGGTGGGCCATTTCAAGCACAAATCCAGGTTTTCTCACCCTCCACCCCCCCCCACAAATTCACTCTCCTGCTGGTGCTAGCCCCTCCAAAGTGACAACTCTTTACATAATCAAGTCGGGCTATTTCCTGCATAGATCCAGGTTTTCTCACTTCCCCCCCACCCCCATACACACACAAACTCACTCTCCTGCTGGTAATAGCTCATCTAAACTGACCACTCTCCAAGTTTAAATCCAAGTTAAACCAGAATATCTGGGGGGGTGGGGGGGGGGTAGGAAAAAACAAGAGGAAACAGGCTACCTTGCATAATGACTTAGCCACTCCCAGTCTCTATTTAAGCCTAAATTAATAGTATCCAATTTGCAAATGAATTCCAATTCAGCAGTTTCTCGCTGGAGTCTGGATTTGAAGTTTTTTTGTTTTAAGATAGCGACCTTCGTGTCTGTGATTGCGTGACCAGAGAGACTGAAGTGTTCTCCGACTGGTTTATGAATGTTATAATTCTTGACATCTGATTTGTGTCCATTTATTCTTTTACGTAGAGACTGTCCAGTTTGACCAATGTACATGGCAGAGGGGCATTGCTGGCACATGATGGCATATATCACATTGGTGGATGTGCAGGTGAACGAGCCTCTGATAGTGTGGCTGATGTTATTAGGCCCTGTGATGGTGTCCCCTGAATAGATATGTGGGCACAATTGGCAACGGGCTTTGTTGCAAGGATAAGTTCCTGGGTTAGTGGTTCTGTTGTGTGGTATGTGGTTGTTGGCGAGTATTTGCTTCAGGTTGCGGGGCTGTCTGTAGGCAAGGACTGGCCTGTCTCCCAAGACTTGTGAGAGTGTTGGGTCATCCTTTAGGATAGGTTGTAGATCCTTAATAATGCGTTGGAGGGGTTTTAGTTGGGGGCTGAAGGTGACCGCTAGTGGCGTTCTGTTATTTTCTTTGTTAGGCCTGTCCTGTAGTAGGTAACTTCTGGGAACTCTTCTGGCTCTATCAATCTGTTTCTTTACTTCTGCAGGTGGGTATTGTAGTTGTAAGAAACAAAACAAAAAAACTTCAAATCCAGACTCCAGCGAGAAACTGCTGAATTGGAATTCATTTGCAAATTGGATACTATTAATTTAGGCTTAAATAGAGACTGGGAGTGGCTAAGTCATTATGCAAGGTAGCCTGTTTCCTCTTGTTTTTTCCTACCCCCCCCCACCCCCCCAGATATTCTGGTTTAACTTGGATTTAAACTTGGAGAGTGGTCAGTTTAGATGAGCTATTACCAGCAGGAGAGTGAGTTTGTGTGTGTATGGGGGTGGGGGGGAAGTGAGAAAACCTGGATCTATGCAGGAAATAGCCCGACTTGATTATGTAAAGAGTTGTCACTTTGGAGGGGCTAGCACCAGCAGGAGAGTGAATTTGTGGGGGGGGGTGGAGGGTGAGAAAACCTGGATTTGTGCTGGAAATGGCCCACCTGTTGATCATTTTAGATAAGCTATTACCAGCAGGACAGTGGGGTGGGAGGAGGTATTGTTTCATATTCTCTGTGTGTATATAAAGTCTGCTGCAGTTTCCATGGTACACATCTGATGAAGTGAGCTGTGGCTCACGAAAGCTCATGCTCAAATAAATTGGTTAGTCTCTAAGGTGCCACAAGTACTCCTTTTCTTTTTGCGAATACAGACTAACACGGCTGTTCCTCTGAAACCTCTCCTTCCTTAGAGGTTTTTAAGGTCAGGCTTGACAAAGCCCTGGCTGGGATGATTTAACTGGGAATTGGTCCTGCTTTGAGCAGGGGGTTGGACTAGATGACCTTCTGGGGTCCCTTCCAACCCTTATATTCTATGATTCTATTCTATGATTCTATGTAGCACATATTTTGTTAAAATGCAGGGACACTGATAATTAGACATAATATGATAATGCTGCCCCATACCACACACACCCTAACGTGCTACCAAAAACGTAGCATTTCTCAAAAATGCACTGAAATACCATGGAGCCATACATTATGAGGGAGCCAATCTTAATCACAGGAAGCCAAGTTTCACAGAGCATGCAACAGACAGCATTCAAGGCTAGTATTCTACCCATGCTTCCATACAATTAGGCCCAGTTTTTCAGAAAGAGGCCCAAGGCCTGGATGAAATTACATGCTTACGGCCTGATCCAAAGTTCACTGAAATCAATAGGAATCTGTCCATTGAATACAGTGGGTTTTCAGCCCCCTAAAGAGTAATGGTAATCAAGCAACGGCAGCAATTCAGAAAGATTTCTTCTTGTTCCTTTTAACGAGAAGCCATAATACTGATATTACTGCTACAGTATTTTACACTGATTGCCAAGGATGCCGAAATAACAATACAGTGTGTAAGAATACAATTATTGCATTCTACTGGAGTATACTTTTGTCCTTGGCCAGTTTGACAAGGATATTTCTCCTGAAATCACAGTTAACGTCCACACTGGAGCTTGAAGGTGTAATCTCCGGCGCAGGTAGACATACCCGTGCTAGCTCTGATCAAGCTAGCAGGCTAAAAGCAGAAGAAGAGTAGCCATGGTGGCATGGGTGGGCTAGCTGACCTGAGTACATACTTAGGGTCTTGGCTAGCCCCCTCCTGCTGCTTGCACTGCTGTGGCTACATTGCTATTTTTAGCATGCTATCTTGAGCTAGCACAGGTATGTCTCCCTGAGCAGGAAATGACGTCTTCCAGCTCCAGTGCAGATGTACCCTAAATTGCACATCTTTACCCACGAGGCTGTTCCTCACTTTCCCTCGGCTTCCCTTTTCCTGGAAATTCCCCCCTGCCCCACATCACCCAACACTTACTTTTCCAGTATAGACATAATAATTGGAGGTAGAACCAGTATAGGCATTGGCAGGACCACTCTAGTCAGGGCTGTCTCTATCAGTGCCTGAAAAAAAAGAAAAGAAAAGAAATAGAAGACATACACTTAGAACTGCTCCCAGCATATGCCTTCTTTGATCAAACAATCCACTGGGTCAGAAATCCTTTCCCTAGCATTTTTTAATGGTATGTATATGGTTGGAATGTAACCACAAAGATTGATAACAAGGTTGATACCAGTCACTTGCATATAGATTCATAGATTATGAGGCCGGAAGGGGCCACTGTGACTATCTGGTCCGACCTCCTGTACAACTCAGGCCAGAGAACTTTCGTCAATTAATTCCTATTTGAGCTACAGCAGATCTCTACAAAAACATCTAACACTGATTTTAAAATGGCCAGTGATGAAGAACCCACCACAACCCTTGGCAAGTTGTTCTATTGTTGTTAATTACCCGCACTGTTAAAAATTTGCACCTATGTCCAGTCTGAATTTGTCTAGTTTCAGCTTCCAGCCATTGGATCTTGTTATACATACCTCTGATTGCTCGCCTGAAGAGCACGCCAATTTCTGTTCCCCATGCAGGTACTTCCAGACTGTGATCAAGTCACCCCTTAACTTTCTCTTTGTTAAGCTAAAAAGACGGCATTCTTTGAATCTATCACTGTAGGGCTATCTCTGCACTAGATAGCTTACAGAGGCACAGCGGTACCGATAGCTGTGCTGCTGTAAGGTCTCTCGTGTAGCTGCTCTGTGCTAATGGGAGAGAGCTCTCCCGTCGACATATTAAACCACACCCAATGAGGTAGCTATGGTGGCAGGAGGAGCTCTCCCTGTAGCTGCTGGATGCCAGTTGCGAGGAAGTCTTTGATTATTATTATGCGCCATGCAGGGTCTGAGGCAGTTGAGGAGGCAGTGTGTGCTAATCAACTTCCTGGATTCATCAGTACTCTCCGTGAACTCCAGGAACCTGAATAACACATACTGCCCCCTCAACCACCCCGGAACCTGCATGGCGCATATAAAAAGCTCAGGTTCTTCAGAGAGACGTGAGCTTTTCCCACGGGGCGGCCTGGGGTCTCAGGAGGGGAGGCGCAGAGTGGCTGCGGGAGCTCCAGCCAGCCCGGGACTCTTCCGGGAGCAGGGGGGCTTAGGGCTCTAGCTGGCCCAGGGGTCCTCCAGCCATCGGGGGGGTCTGGGGGCTCTGAGCACAGGGGGGGCCCTCAGGCAGAAGGGGTGGAGCCAGTGGGGCTAGTCTCCCGGAAGGGGGACTCCACCCACCGCCCATGCTCTCCCGCCGACATAGTGCTGTACACACTACCACTTATGCCAGTAAAACGTTATGTCGCTCAAAGGTGTGTTTTTTTCACCCCGCTGCGTGACATATGTTTTGCCAACATAAGTCATAGTGTAGACATGGCCTGAGTTATGTTTTCTGAACTGCTAATCATTCCCATGGTTCTTCTCTCAACCCGCGCCAATTTATCAACAACAGGGCTGGGCAGTAAGTGCTCTTCCCATCCCAGAGAGTTTTCTAGAGTTTGAAAAATGTTCCCATTCTGAATCAGGAAAGGAAATCAAAACCTTGAAATTTTTCACACACTGACAAACTGAAAAAATAATTCAATTAGGGTAAACAAACGTTTTGTTTCAATGATGACTTTTTTTTAAAAAAAAACACAAAATTTAAAAAAAAAACTTTTCAGATTAAATTTACTAAAACGTGTATACAAAAAGTCGTTTGAACTTCTCTTTCGGAAAATGTCAAAAAGCAACATTTTGACAATTTCAAAAGGTTTTTTTTTTGCAAAAATGTTTCGATTTGGGAGATTTGTCAAAACTGACCCCATTTGACAAGCAGTTTTGGTTTTGATAAATCAGCATTTTTCATTTAAAAAAAAAAATTGTTGAAAAATTCCTGCCCAGCTCTCTTTGCCTATATTCTGTTCTTGCTCTGTTGCTGCGAATTATGGACCAAAATCTGTGCTCAGTTATGCCAGTGTAAATCCACAGTAACTCTGATATAAACGAGAGCAGGGCATGGCCCTACCATGTAATAAATAACTTAACTTTCTATCTATGAATATGGGTCAGCAATGTGATGCAGTTGTGAAAGGGCTAATATTCTGGGGTGTATTAAGGGAGATAACAATCCCATGCTATTCCGCACAGATGAGGCCTCAGCTGGAGTACTGTGTCCAGTTCTGGGCACCACACTTTAGGAAAGATGTGGATAAACCGGAGGGAGTCCAGAGAATAACAAAAAAAAAATGATAACAGGTTTAGAAAACGTGACCTATGAGGGTAGGTTAAAAAAACTGTGTATGTTTAGTCTTAAGCAAAGAAAACTGAGGGGGACCTGACAGTTTTCAAATACGTTAAGGGCTCTTATAAAGAGGACGGTGATCAATTGTTCCTTATGCCCACTGAAGGTAGGACAAGAAGTCATGGGCTTAATCTTTAGTAAGGGAAATTTAGGTTAAATATTTAAGAAAAACTTTCCAACTCTAAGGGTAGTTCTGGCACAGTCTTTCAAGGGAGGCCGAGGAATCCCCGTCACTGAAGGTTTTTAAGTGCAATTTGGCCCAACACCTTTCAGGGGCGGGACAGCCTACATTTGCTTCATCCTGCATCAGAGCAAGGGGCTGGCCTAGATCACCTCTCAAGGTCTGTTCCAGCCCTATATTCCTATGATTCTATGATCTACGTCATCACTAGAGCATTTGAGCCCCTCACAAACTCTGATCATTGTATCCTCACATGAACCCGGGAGGTCAGGAAGTACAATCATCCCCACTTTACAAATGGGGGAACTGAGTCACACAAGGAACATGCAGCAGAGCCAGGAATTAAACTTAGTTCTCCTGAGTCTTAGTCCAATACCTCAACCACAAGACCGGCCTGCCTCCAATGCACTGTGCCACTGAATCAGGCTCTAACATTTACTGTGTATGGTTTTAGCAATAAACTCCTGAGGTCCTAGCCTGCTGTTTGGTAGCCAAGGGCTCAGAGCTCAGGATGTGTTCTCCACACCAGCCCAGAGAAGTAGAGCTGAAGTAGACGCTCCTCTCTCCCCACTCCGAACTGTCTCCCAAAGGGATGAGGTGAGCAGAGCAGGAGAGGGTGAGGCTGTGTCTGCATTCACTGGCTGAGGGACAGGGGATGACACAGCTCATGCTGAAAGAAGGGAGAGGGATGAGCTGAATTGATGGGAAGCTTGGGGTGGGTGAACCTGTGTGAGTCTGGAGGTTGGGTGGTGAATCAAGGAGGAGGACACGGGGCTAACGCTGAGTGATGGGGTGCTGGGAGGGGTGCAGTCAGGAGGTGGGGGAGACAACCAGGTGCTGACAGGAGCAGACTGGTGGAGAAAGCAGGGTGCGTATGCACAGCTGCAAGGAGGGTAACTGAGAAATCTAAACACTGGTGGTGGGGGAGTGTGGCTAAGCGGCCCAGTCAGAGCAGAGCCCAGCGGCTGCTGCTGACTGGAAGGAGGACAGAGGGACAGTACAGCTGCCTGGCAAGTTGTGTGAGGTGAGACCCATCGCAGCTGAGCTATGTTTCAATTCCCTCTCCGCATGCAGCCACGCAGAGTGGGAGTGCGGAACCCCGCCCAGAGACTCGGAGCTGCAGCAGCATAGGGCAGCAAAGGTAACCCCCACACAAGGTTTTCCACCAATTGTCACCTTCCTGCATAGATAAAAATGCCAGTCGCACGTCACTCAAAATGTGCTGCCAGGTAACCAATTAAGCCCAGATTCTCAATGGTATTTACATGGTTCACTCCCATTGAATCAATGGAAGTTAGGAACCTAGCTACCTTTCAGGATCTGGGCCTGAGCCATTTGGCCAGACATTAGGACACAGAGAGGTCTTGGGCTAGGGATGGGGTGGGGGCAGGTCAGGAAATCTGGTTCAGCTCTGATAGAACTGCCTCTGAGCTCTTCAGCAAACTGCTTAACAGCTCTGTGCCTCAGTTTCCCCTTCAGTAACATGGCAATATTAATAGTGACTCACCATTCCTTGCAGGCAGCTGAGAGGCTAAGTTAGTTACCTCTGTAAAGTGTTTTAAGAGCCTTGGACAGAAGGAGCGATAGACGTGCCAAGGATTGTATTATGAGCTCCTCTGCCTGGATTTGTGCCTCTGCACACTTTACCTTTCAGATTAAAACCCGCTAGAAAACAACCTGGTTCAATTAGATAATCAGACAAAGCTCTGGAGACAAAGCTACTCAAGAACAGAAAAAACAGGAAAGTCATAATGTAGTCATGAGCATATGGCAGAATTTAGAAGGTTGGCCAAGGGGTGGGGTGGGGGGGGAACAAACCAGGTGTTAGCAAGAGAATAAAAACAGCTGGGGTCTCCTTATAAAGGTTTGGTTGATGGCTATTAATGTCATTTGGCACATGGCGGGTTAAAGAGCTATTCAGCTGGCAAACTAAGTTTTTCTCATTTGTAAAAAGGTGTATGTTAGCTCTGCCCTATCCTCAATGTCAACTGCTTACAGCTTCCACAGTGAAATCCTCAGACTGACAGTGGGGGAAAAAAGGGGGGGGGTGGGGAGGAGACAACAGGATCTCACTTAAAAGAATTCATAGATTTTTGAGGCCAGAAAGGACCAGTATGATCATCAAATCTAACCTTCTGCATAACATGCCCCATCAACTTCTGGTGGAGCTATATCGTATCTTTTAGAAAAACAACCAGTCTTGATTTAAGACCTCAAGTGCTGGAGAATCAACCACAGACTTAGTGAAGTTGATCCAGTGACCATTGTTAAAAATCTGCTCCATACATTCTTATCTGAATTTGTCCAGCTTCACCCACTGGATCTCATTCTGCCTTTTGCTGCTAGACTGGTCACACGGTAACCAGAATCATAGAATATCAGGGTTGGAAGGGACCTCAGGAGGTCATCTAGTCCAACCCCCTGCTCAAAGCAGGACCAATCCCCAATTTTTGCCCCAGATCCCTAAATGGCCCCCTCAAGGATTGAACTCACAACCCTGGATTTAGCAGGCCAATGCTCAAACCACTGAGCTATCCTTCCCCCCTTGTAGCTAACATTTTAAATGAGAGTTTCTATCACTCTTATTCTACGATTAATCTTATTTGACTAAACCAGGCATTCTGGACCAAATACTCAAAAGCAGCTTCTACCCCAACTGTACCCCTGATCTGTCACCTGTACATTTTTGTGTGCACCAAAGCCCCCAGATTTCTGAGTGCTCACTGTTCTTGTCTGCGCAAAGCAGGTAATTAACCACCATAGCCTGATTTATCTTGGATGATCAATAAGGCCTCGACTATCCCAGTTTTCTAAATGACAGCTGAGATTCTCCTTTGTTTCTAGCTCACCCAAACCAGGGGTTCCCACAGCCATGGGCTTCCTGGGGCATAAAGGCCAGCTGTGTATGTGTGTGTGCCCTAAGCTCCAGGGAACCCCGCAGGTACATACATGTTTGCGTGTGTGTGCCCTAAGCTCCAGGGAACCCCGCAGGTACATACATGCTTGGCAGCAATTCTGGAAGATCCGACAATGTTTCCGTTACTGTCCAGGACATCAATCCCTTCTTCCAGCTCTGTGTGCCTCATCAGGACAACATTGCAGATATTGGCACTAGCTGAGGGCGAGAAAAGCACAATGGTCAGTTATCCCTCCGTCAGGTTTCACAGGACACTGGGGCAGGCTGCAGCCCCCATTTAAAAATCAAACAGCCACCTTCTGCTCTCAAAAAGAAAAGGAGGACTTGTGGCACCTTAGAGAATAAATTTGTTAGACCTCCTTTTCTTTTTGTGAATACAGACTAACACGGCTGCTACTCTGGAGCTTCTGCACTCAGTAACCTCCATTCCACTCTGCTTTTGCTCCGCTGTAACTGAGAGTAGACCTCCAAAGGGATTTGGGAGGGTGGAAGGCTGATACTTGCAATGAGAGTTACAGGCATTCATGTAGAGGAGGGTAATACACCGAGATCACGTGCTTTGACTGACCAGGCAATTTGCTGTCACAGTCAGAGGTCGACTGAGGCAAAATGGGGCTTGGAAACACCAAAATGTTCAGCCTCCCCAAAACTCTCCTTTGTATGATGACTGCTCCTCCTCTATTGAAATCCCTCTTCTCATCCTACCCCCTGACCAACCTCCCAGAGCAGCTCACCCCAGGACGGCATTATGTGCTGCCCCACTGCCTGCTACTCTACCGGTCCTTTTGACTGCAGGCCCAAGATCCCAAGGAGTCTACCTTAATCTACCCCAAGGACAGCTTGACAGACACAAATTCTTCTGGCACAAATAAACGTTTGCAGGCCTGACAGAAACCTGTTGAAAATGATTTCATTGAGCCGTGGGAACAAAATCCAGATGTTTTAGATCAGCACTGCATTCAGCTCTTAACAGTGCATACGAAGTTTTGTAGAATCTAATTAGAAGCAGCTTCATTAACACATGCTGTTGTAAACCCTGTTCCTGCTGAACTCCCATCATGGGGTGGCAACATTAAGGGGAAAAGAGCTGCTTAGATTTGGTTTTCTTTCTTTCTTAAAGAGAGCTACTTGCTTGACACTTTAATTAGGTATCTTTCCAAACCAGACTATAAACCGCCAGTGCCTTAGCGGGTTCCCTTGATTTTCAATCAACATTTAGCCTCAACCTCCAAGTCCGCTCCAGTTGTGCAGCTCATACCTGGCCTCAGAGAGCTGCCCTTTGCTGAGATTCATGGCTGATTAGGTCTCCGGGCTGGAATTCTTTTGAAATAACCTCCTTCCTCATTAGTCTTGACTAGTGTAACCTTGCCCCTGTTCTCAGTTCTACTCTGAATGCTGCTGCTAGCCTCAGCTGACTGGCTTGTGGCTCTGGCCATATCACCCCTTTGTGGAGTCCCTTTTCCAGTGCATCAAACACAAGCTTCACATTTTTACCAATAAGGTTGTCATAAATATAAAGGGAAGGGTAAACCCCTTTGAAATCCCTCCTGGCCAGGGGAAAGCTCCTCTCACCTGTAAAGGGTTAAGAAGCTAAAGGTAACCTCGCTGGCACCTGACCAAAATGACCAATGAGGAGACAAGATACTTTCAAAAGCTGGGAGGAGGAAGAGAAACAAAGGGTCTGTGTCTGTCTGTATGCTGGTTTCTGCCAGGGACAGAACAGGAATGGAGTCTTAGAACTTTTAGTAAGTAATCTAGCTAGGTATGTGTTAGATTATGATTTCTTTAAATGGCTGAGAAAAGAATTGTGCTGAATAGAATAACTATTTCTGTCTGTGTATCTTTTTTGTAACTTAAGGTTTTGCCTAGAGGGTTTCTCTATGTTTTTGAATCTAATTACCCTGTAAGATATCTACCATCCTGATTTTACAGGGGGGATTTCTTTATTTCTATTTACTTCTATTTTTTATTAAAAGTCTTCTTGTAAAAAACTGAATGCTTTTTCATTGTTCTCAGATCCAAGGGTTTGGGTCTGTGGTCACCTATGCAAATTGGTGAGGCTTTTTATCCAACATTTCCCAGGAAAGGGGGGGTGCAAGTGTTGGGAGGATTGTTCATTGTTCTTAAGATCCAAGGGTCTGGGTCTGTAGTCACCTAGGCAAATTGGTGAGGCTTTTTACCAAACCTTGTCCAGGAAGTGGGGTGCAAGGTTTTGGGAAGTATTTTGGGGGGAAAGACGCGTCCAAACAGCTCTTCCCCAGTAACCAGTATTAGTTTGGTGGTGGTAGCGGCCAGTCCAAGGATAACGGGTGTAATATTTTGTACCTTGGGGAAGTTTTGACCTAAGCTGGTAAAGAGAAGCTTAGGAGGTTTTTCATGCAGGTCCCCACATCTGTACCCTAGAGTTCAGAGTGGGGGAGGAACCTTGACAAAGATCCTTCACTATATAACCCTTCTCAATATGTCAGTAATTTTATCTTAGCAAGCTGTCAACTTTGCTTTGCAATGCTGGCTTTCCCCATCTGTTAGTCCATTTCTCCCCAGGCACCTTCATGCTATCTCCCACCCAAGGCCTCATACAGTGGAAAAGTTCCCCATCTTATCCCCTCTTTCAAACGCCTCCTTCCCTCACTTCTGTCACGATGCCTACAAAACCCGACCTGCGGACATTGACTAGGCAGCAGAATCTATTATTTATACAAATATGCTTGTTTCACTATGAGCTTGTCCTGACTTGTCTGTCTCATTCACCTGTGGTGAGCAATCCGGGACAGGGACTATGGCCCAGATCTTCAAAGGTATTTAGGCTTCATTGATTTCAAAGAAAGTTAGCAGCCTAAATATCTTTGAGGATCTGGGCCTCCCTTTTTATTACATGGGCCAGATCCTCCGCTGGTGTAAATCAGCATAACTCCAGTGACTTCAAGGGAGCTAAGCCAATTTACACCAGCTGAGGATCTGCCGCCCCCTCCACCCCACCACAATTTCTGTACAACACACAACAGTGAGGCCCTGATGGGCTCTACTAACAAACAGGAACAACTAGTCAATCTGATCATACCTAACAGAATGGGATCAGGCAAAGAACAGCAAAACAGTCTTGTTTTGCAATACTATTCATTTTACGAGCTCCTTCCAAAGGCACGTTTCGGCAGCTCTTGAAGGGTTATAATGTTTGCTAATTAAAGTCAATTCATTTAGTATAACCCACTTTTATTTTTTTCGAGTGGCAGGCGGGCATGGGGTGCAAAGCAGCTCTCTGCAATGGAAGCTGATTTGTGTCATCACAGAATAGGAGGGAAACCGCATCCATGTGCACACATTTAAGGAGCTGGAGTACTGGTTAGGATTACGGAGCACAGTCATGTGGCAGGAAGACTGAGAACACTCATGTTATATGAGGCAACATAAAAAAGGCACCAGGGCATCTCTCACCTTAGGATGGTTAGTTATTATGGGGAAGTGGACTGCCAGAGAGAACCAAATCTCTCCTTCACTCCCCGCCACAACATACACACACACACTCTGCTAGCTACTTCCAAGCTCTAAGTATTCTGCAATTTCTCAGGTCAGGAGTTCCCCTTCTGCCCTGTGTATGTATGTGTCTCAGAGTTTTCAGGACCATTTGCAATTATGCTATTTAACTTGGTTTTCAGCTTTGAGACTCATCTAGGAAGGAGAAGGCATAGCAGGAGGACTGAAGCCAGGGCCCCATGCTTCTAGGTCAATTGGAAGGAGAAGTGGAAGGAGAGGGGGTGGAAAGCAGTTTCTAGACACAGAACTTTTCTCATAATTCTTCTCCCTCTCTGTTTCCAGGCAGGTGGAGCCATAATGCCAACTGCCGCTAACCATCCCATGTCACAGTCGGAAAGAAGAGAGACTTGGAATAAGTTTTACTTCCTTTCTGCTTCTAGGGTGACCAGATAGCAGGGGTGAAAAATCAGGACAAAGGGTTGAGGGTAATAGGCGCCCATATAAGAAAAAACCCTGAATATCAGTACTGTCCCTATAAAATCAGGACATCTGCTCACCCTATTTGCTACGTATGTTACAAACAAGCCACTGTTATATACTGGCGAGATTCCAATCATAACCACGCTCAGCCCACCCCTGAAGTCCTTGGTTTGGCAAAACTCCCATTAACTTTGAATGGATTTAGCCTGTTCCACTGGGCAGGGCACCAGAATAGATGAAAGGAGCCTTGGGCTCTGTTCCTGGTTCTGCCACTGACTTGCTGTATGACTTTGGGCAAGTTTCATCGCTTCTGTATACCTTAGTTTCCCCCTCTGTGAAACAGAGACACTGATGCTTTCCCGGCTTCGTAAAGTGCTTTAAGATCAGGCTTGACATACACAGGTGAGGTAGGGTGGCTTATTGTGTTGTATTGGCTCTGTGGATAAACAGAGGCACAGTCTCCAGGGTGGTAAATCCAGCGTCCTTCACCACCACTAAATGTACATGGAAGTATTTTTAAAAAGTGAAAATCCAAGGTTTGTGGATTACCAAATACACACTGGAAGAAGCAAAGGTGGGCGAACTGTCTGCTCGTTCTGTAAAAGCAAGCCAAATCTGCCTTATTGCTTTGAGATCGATCTAAGGTGCTTATATGGCCCCTGTAGTATGTGAACCCCTCAATCATCTTTAGAGTGTTTAGGGAATCTGGACTAGATTCAAACAGAGATTCTGATGTTCAGAATTTGGGAAAATCCTGTCATAAATTCCTATCTGTCCATTATTTTGTTGACAATCTTTTGTAATATTTAGCCCTTTATATGTTCAAAGTACTGGTCAAATATGAAAGATCTAAGATGATCATCCATCAAATGCCTTGTCCCTTGCAACATGTCCTAAGCACTTACACTAAACAATCTGTTCCACCTTGCATTTTGCCGTGACACTCGGTGTACCTTTCCCAGACCTGAAGAAGAGCTCTGTGTGGCTCGAAAGCTCGTCTCTCGCACCAACAGAAAGTTGGTCCAATAAAAGATATTACCTCACCTACTATGCCTCTCTGATTCTGTACGTATTTCACATTTACGTGTGAGTTGGTAGTCTTTATACATGGTGAATATGTCTTTTTGTTCTGCCTAAATGGAGTTGTTTAAAGAGATTAAATAAAAACAGAAAAACACCCTTGTGGAATTCCTATTTGGGATAACAAAACGCCCTCCCCCCCCAAAAAAAACAAAAAAACCCCA